CCCGGTGGCTTAAAACTCACACCGGGCGCGTGTGCGTGCGTGCCCAAGATCCCAAGAGGAGAATGGAGGAGAATTAATTGTGGCGTGACCATCCCCCCTGAGGGGTGATTTCTCGCTTTCTGTCTCTATGTCTCTCTCTGTCTGTCTGGCGAGCGCACGCGCCCTATAGCAAAAACCTCTCCAAAAAAAAAAAAAATCATGTATCCTGCAACCTTGGTATAATCACTTACTAGTTTCCAAAGATTTTCTTTTTCTTTCTTTCCTTCTTTCTTCTTTTTTTTTGGAGAGGTTTTTGCTGTAGGGCAGCTCACCAGAAAGACAGAGACAGAAAGTGAGAAATCACCTCCTCCCACCAGGAGGGTGTGTGGATGGCCAAGTCACAATCCCTTCTCCTTCATTCGCCTCTCAGGATCTTGGGCATGCACGCACATGTGCCTGGCATGAGCTTAAGCCACCAGGTCTGGGACTCGAACCACGGTCGACTACATGGGAGACCCATGACGAAGCCATTATGCCATCTGCTGGTCCCCATCGTTAGTTCATCTCTAACCTTAGATTGGAAAATATCTAGCTTTTCACTATTAAGTTGTCTGTAAGGTTTTATATTCTTTATCTTTTTTTCAAGTGGAGGAAATTCTCTTATATTCCTACTTTGTTCCTCGCTTTAATTATGAGTGGTACTCTACTTTAAATTTATCTGTGCCTTTATATTTAAAGTGGGCTTCTTATAGACAACAGGTAGTTTTTGTTGTTTTAATCTCTCTGACAGTCTGTCTTTTAATTTGTATACTTGTTCATTTGTATTTAAGGTGATTATTTAAATATTTTAAAATTTTAAATTACTTTCCTGAGAAAGAGAGAGAGAGAGACCCCTAACAGGGTCTTGTCTCACTGCAATCATTTTCCCCAAGTCCTCTAGCTAATAGGATCTTGGGTATGTGTGTGTATGCACATGCACACATGCGGTGTCTTTCAGGTTGATCAGGATCTGAACGTTAAGTCAGATTCCAGACCTGCAGATCAGCAAGTCACCAAGGCTGGACCTAGGATGATTAGCCATATAGTTGAATTATTATCTGCCATGCTTATAACTGTTTTCTATTCCTTATGCCTGTTTCATTTTTAAAATCTTCCTTTCTTTCTGTGCTTCTGTGATTTTAATATGATTCTATTTCTTTTCCTCTCTTAGCATGTAAAACTTTTTAAATTTTAATTTCCCTAGAGATTGCAATATACATTTACAGCTAATCTAAGTACACTCTCAATATGTAATTGTATGTATTGTCATATTTCTCATGGTACCTTACAGCAGAGTATTCCAATCCTCCCTTTCATCTTTTTTTTTTTTTGAGGGGGGAGAGGTTTTTGCTATAGGGTGCATGCATTCACCAGAAAGAGAGAGAGAGACAGAGAGACAGAAAGCAAGAGATCCCCCCCCGGAGGGATGGCCACGCCGCAATCCCTTCTCCTCCATTTTCCTCTCAGGATCTTGGGCACATATGCACACATGCTGGGCGTGAGTTTAAGCCACCGGGTCCGGGACTCGAACTGCAGTGGACTACATGGGAGTCCAGTGACATGGCCATTACACCAACTGCTGGTCCCCTCCCTTTCATCTTTTATAACACTGCTTATACAATATTAATTTACACAAATAATAACTTGTTCAATCAATTAAGAATAAGAAAAAAATTGTTTTAGGTTTTTGCCACAGGGTGTATGTGCTTACCACAGAGAGACAAAGAGAAAGGGAAAGTGAGAAATCACCCCCTAGGGGGCATGGCCATGCCACAATCCCTTCTCCTCCATTCTCTTCTTGGGATTTTGAGCATTTACATACACATGTCAGCATGATTTTCAAGCTGCCAGGTTCGGGACTCAAACTATGGTTGGTCATGTGGGAGTCCAACACTTTAGCCACCATGTCACTTGCTGGTGTCAAAAGTAAGAAAATTTGGGGACTATCAGATAGCATAATAGTTACCTCACTCCCATGTAGTCAACCGTGGTTCAAATTCCAGTCCCGGCAGCATAAAACACACCAGGGGTGGGTGTGTATGTGTGTGCCCAAAATCCCAAGAGGAGAATGAAGGAGAAGGGATTGCAGCATGGCCATCCCCCTGGACTCTACATGGCTGACCGTGGTTTGAATTCTGAACTCTGAGTCTTGAAACTCATGCTGGGTGCATGTGTATGTGTGCCCAAAATCTCGAGAAGAATGGAGGAGAAGGAATTGCAGTATGGCCATCCCCTATGGTGGTTGATTTCTTGCTTTCTGTCTCTTCATCTTTGTCTGTCTCTCCAGTGAGTGCACATACCCTATAGTAAAAATCTGAGGGTTTTTTTTAGGAATTATTTTAATTTGGAACCAGCAGTTGGCACAAGGCTATGCTGCTGGACTCTCATGTAGTCGACTACATTTCCAGTCTAGGACCCGGTGGCTTAAACTCACGCTGGACATGTGTGTGTGTGTGCATGTCCAAGATCCCGAGAGGAAAATGGAGGAGAAGGAATTGCGGCATGGCCATCGCTCCCAGCGGGGGTGATTTCTCACTTTCTGTCTCTCTCTGTCTTTCTGGTGAGCCAAACACCTAAAAAAAAAACCCCCCCCAAAAAAAAAAAAAAAAAAAAAAAGAATTATTTTAAATTTATTTATTTATTTAAATTTAACTAGAGAGGGACAGAAGGGAGAGAGAGAGAGAGAGAAGAAAAGCAAGAAAACAAGCTGCCAAGTCCAGGACTTGAACCGCGGTTGGCCATGTGAGAGTCCAGTACCCTTAACCACCACACCACCTGCCAGCCCTGAAAAAGTCTCCTATAAAAAAATTTAAAAAGAATAAGAAAAAAAATTTTAAGAGCTGTTTTATTTCATTTATTTATTCATTTATTTTCATGTGATCAGAGGGGGCAGAGTCAGAGAGTGAGAGAAAGGGAGAGGGAGAGAGGGAAAGTGAGAAAACAAGCCCTCAGGTCTGGGACTTAACTGTGGTCGACCACGTGGGAGTCCAACACCCTTAACCACCATACCACCTGCCAGCCCCAGAAAATTTTTATTTTATCTTCATTATGCATTCTCCGATTTCTTTTTTTATGTAGAGCCAAGTTTCTGACCTTCATAATTTTTCACTCTCTCTGAAAAACCTCTTTTAACATTTCTTGGAAGGCAGGTCTACAAGTTATGAATACTCTCAATTTTTATTTGTCTGAGAAAAATCTTTATTTCTCTTTCATTTAATTTTTTTTTGAGAGGTTTTTCGCTATAAGGCACGTGTGCTCACCAGACAGACAGAGAGAGACAGAGAGAGACAGAAAACGAGAAATCACCCCCCAGGGGGGATGGTCACGCCACAATCCCTTCTCCTCCATTCTCCTCTCGGGATCTTGGGCACGCACGCACATGCGCCTGGCGTGAGTTTTAAGCCACCGGGTCCAGGACGCGAACCGCGGTCAACTACATGGGAGTCCAGCGATATAGCCATTACGCTAACTGCTGGTTCCCATTTAATTTTTTAATTATAAATTTCATGAGAGAGAGCACATGTGTGCAAGAGAGAGAGAGGAGCAGGAGAGGCAGAGGCACCCTTGATATAGAGTCTGATCACACTTCAGTCCCCTTCCTTCAGCACCCCCAGCTCGTGAGGATTCGGGGTATATACTCACACACCTGGTGCATTTCAGGTCAACCAGCCAGGATTCCAACCTGCAGTGCATCAGGGAGCTTCTAGCACCGCCTGCCAGTACAGACACAGAGGGCACGCCTAGGCTGGACCCTCTTTCACTCTGAAGGACGATTTCACTGGAGGGGGAATTCTAGGTTGTTATTATTGTTGATATTATTATTATTTCAGTACTTTAGCAAGTGCATTCTCTCCTTGTTTATATGGTTCTGGTGCAATTCTTACATTGTTCCTCCGTGAGCAAGGTGTATTTTTCCTCTGGCTTCTTTCAACATGTTGTCTTTGTCTTTCGTGCTCTGTAGCTTGGACATGAAATGCTTAGGTATCGATTTTATGGTAGTAGGTTGTCAGGAAAAGTCATGACTTTTTTCTTTTATGCAAAAATGCATCATGACTTTCCTGACAACCCAATATTTACCTTGCTTATTGTTCTTTGGACTTCCTACATCTGCGATTTGGTGTCTATCACTCATTTTTGGAAAATTTTCAGCCATTTTTACTTCAAATATTTCTTCCTTTCTTTATTCTGCTCGGGTATTAGATTGTGCATATATTAGACCTTCTGTAATTGCCCTGCAGTTCTTGGATATCCTGTTCTCTCTCTCTTTTTTTTTTTTCTCTCTTTGCATTTCAGTTTGGGAAGTTTCTGTTGACGTATCTTTACACTCACTGATTCTTTCTTTGACCCATCAAAGAAACCCTCCATTTCATTTACGGTTTTCGATTTCTCACACTTACTTTTTAGTTTTTCTAAGAGTTTCCATTTCTCTGCTTACATTATTCATGTGTTTTTGCATATTATCTACTTTTTCCAGTGCCCTTAAAATGGTAGTCATAGTTATTTATAAACCCCAGTCTGGTCAATTCTAAAATCTGTGTGATTCGAATGCTTACTTTGTTTCTTCACACTGTTTTCCCTTTACTTTTAGTGCGCCTCTTAATTTTTTGTTACAAGTCAGGCGTCGTATACTGGGTCAGAGCAAAGGAAGTAATTCGACTTGGAGAGTGAGCTTTTGCTAGGAGCTAGGCTGTGTTTAAAGGTTTGCTATGGCTGTAAGTGCCAAAATCTTGAGTTTCCTATAATTTCCTCTTTTTTCCTTTCCATAATTATCTTTGTATTTCCCTAAGAACTCCTTCTTAAAAAGAATCTGTTTGTGGGACCAGCAGTTAGCATAATGGTTATGTTGCTGGACTCCCACGTAGTCGACCACGGTTCGAGTCCCGGACCCGGTGGCTTAAACTCACGCTGGATGTGTGTGCGTGCGTGCCCAAGATCCCAAGAGGAGAATGGAGGAGAGGGGGTTGCAGCGTTGCCATCCCCCCTGGGCGGTGATTTCTCGCTTTGTATCTCTCTGTCTCTCTCTGTCTGTCTGACAAGCGCACGTGCCCTATAGCAAAAACCTTTCCAAAAAAAGAATCTGTCAGCTCTCAGCTATAATGCACTGTGGTTATACTGAAGACCTGTGGGGTAGTGATACGTTGTTCAGTAAATGTTCTATACGCTTATCACTAAATCATAGTTTTCCAGTTGGCCTGAGTCCCTGGACTGACCTAAAGCATTTCTTAGCCACTTCTCCCCCTTAAGTGAGACAGACAGGAAGGCTAGGGGGGCTGGAGCTGTCTAATCGCCCTTCCCTCAGGTCAAATAAAGATCTGATGTGGTGACCTGGGTGGGGCCCCCATGACTGTAAGAAGAGCCAGTCAGTAGCTTGGTGGTTAAGGCAGCTGGATCCCACATGGCCAACTTTGCAGTTTGAGTCCCAGACCCTTCAGCTTGGAAAACATGGAAGGTGCATGTGTGTGCATGGCCAAAACCCGAGAGGAGAGTAGAGGAAAAATGTCATGGAGTGGCTGTCTTCCCAGCGGGGTGGGAAGGGAGCTTTCTCACTTCCTCTGTCTCTGTCTCTCTGTCTCTCTCTCTGGCGAGCACATACACCCTATAGCAAATAAACAAACAAATAAATAAATATCTGGTGAAGCAGTTTCCCTGGCGGGTAGGCCTCAGTTGTGGAGGAAGTTCTGGGGGATATTTTCAAATGATTAGTCTTCTCCCTGCTCTTGCCTGAAATGGAAGGGACTTTTCTCTGATCTCAGCCATGTAAATCAGGAGGTGTTGGAGATAAAACTCACTGAAGTATTAAAGCGGAGCCTGCAACTGGGACTCTGGAAGTTTTTAATTTTCAAGTAGGTCCACACGCAGCTTCAGAATTTCATGGACATTACCATTGAGGTGTTCCTCACAACTACTGGCTCCAGTGGCCCCCTGGCCTGACGACTCTGTTGGGATTGCTGTCTCTTTGTCTCACTCTCTGTCGTTTTTGATCATGGAAAAAATAAAATAAACTTAATTTTAAAACCTACACTATTTTAGGCCCAGCACCTTCCGTCACTTCCAAGGTCCCAGAACTGTGTCTACTGGACAAAAAGCAGCACCTGTCACCTGGGAAATGAAGGAGTGACCACAAGACCCAACCTCACAGGGTGGGCTTGGGATTAAATGAGCGGGCACCGGGGAAGCAGTGGGCCCGTCCTTAGCATGCAGGGTTGGTTAAGGTGCTGGACACTCCCCCATGGCTGACCATGGTTTGAGTCCCAAACCTGGTGGCTTGCTTTCTCACTTCCTCTGTCTCTGTCTCTCTGTCTCTCTCTCTGGCGAGCACATACACCCTATAGCAAATAAACAAACAAATAAATAAATATCTGGTGAAGCAGTTTCCCTGGCGGGTAGGCCTCAGTTGTGGAGGAAGTTCTGGGGGATATTTTCAAATGATTAGTCTTCTCCCTGCTCTTGCCTGAAACGGAAGGGACTTTTCTCTGATCTCAGCCATGTAAATCAGGAGGTGCTGGAGATCAAACTCACTGAAGTATTAAAGCGGAGCCTGCAACTGGGACTCTGGAAGTTTTTAATTTTCAAGTAGGTCCACACGCAGCTTCAGAATTTCATGGACATTACCATTGAGGTGTTCCTCACAACTACTGGCTCCAGTGGCCCCCTGGCCTGACGACTCTGTTGGGATTGCTGTCTCTTTGTCTCACTCTCTGTCGTTTTTGATCATGGAAAAAATAAAATAAACTTAATTTTAAAACCTACACTATTTTAGGCCCAGCACCTTCCGTCACTTCCAAGGTCCCAGAACTGTGTCTACTGGACAAAAAGCAGCACCTGTCACCTGGGAAATGAAGGAGTGACCACAAGACCCAACCTCACAGGGTGGGCTTGGGATTAAATGAGCGGGCACCGGGGAAGCAGTGGGCCCGTCCTTAGCATGCAGGGTCAGCAGCATAAACCTCGGCTCCAACTTGGGAATGAAGAACTGACGCTCTGGGTGCCAAGGTGACTTACAGATTATCCAGTACAGCAGTCGGCAAACTTCAGCAGGCACCAGGTTGGCCCAGAGCGCCTGCTAGACCACAGATTGCTGGCCCCAACCCTGGGTCTGGAGTCGGGGCGAGAATCTGCACTTCTGACATGTTCGCAGGCCCTGCCGCTGCTGCTGGTCCGGGACCAGCTTTGAGAACCTATGACCTAGGGGCAGCTCTTGTCCCTGCCCTACAAGGGGCCTGAGGCCAGAGCTGGCAGTGCTAGGCCAGGTCACCCCAGGAACTGGGAGCCTTCCAGCAGCCTGGACTCCCAAGTCTTGGGGTGGGGGACTAGACCAAAGCCTGAAGCCCCTTCACAGGCCTCTCCTTGGGCCCGCTGCCCCTGCCTGGCCCAACGCCCTGGCCTGAGCAAGGCCCCTCCACCCAGCTTTGTTTGCATTCCTGGGGCCTGCGTCAGCGCGGGCAGTGGGCGTGTCTACGCGGCCAGCCTGGCGCAGCCCTGACTGCTGGGCCTGCACTCCAGGCCTCCTGGGCCGGCCACGGCCACGCAGGGCTCTCTTAGCAGGCCAGTGACTCATGCTTCCTCCCGGATTCCGGGAAATGCCTTCACGCGGCCCGCTGCTGCTTTTCTCTTGTTTAATGAGAAGTTCTCTGCAGACTTCCATGGCAACCTGAGGCTGGGGAGGCCAGCGGGAGGAAGCCAGTCCACTCACAAGAGAGGCCCCAAGAAGTCCCATCTCGTGCACGCACGTGCGCTTGCGCACTCCCACCCTCCTGTCAGCTCCAGCCTGAGCCCCCAACCCACCATGGAGGGCCAGCCCCAGAAATACTTGCTTTTATTAAAAAGGAATGGCTTCACAAAGGCACGACTGTAGGAAAGGTTGTAATTTGCCCAAATAAAACTTAATTTGATCCATGAAATAGCTGTGGTTTATTGTGTAATAGATGTGCTATTGGTTTCCATTTAATGGAAGCCAATATAATAGGGGCCAGCCGGGCCCTCCAGAGGCCCTTCTTTTCCCCACGCACAGTAGGCCCTCATGGCGGGCCCCATCGCGGGACCCTCCACCGGGAGCAGCCAGAGGCTGCTGGCCAAAGACCTCTGGGCCAGACCACAAAGGCTGGTGGGAGAGACTGCCCAGGGACAGAACAAGTAAGAACTCTTCAAGGGAAAAAAGAAAAAAGAGAGGGAGAAAGGAAAGAAATGAAAACCACTCTTTTTTCCAAAGCAAGGTTGTGGTTGTTGAGTCTGAGGAGGGAGTGGTGGGGGCTGAGTCACTCTCCGGTCCCCTGCTGGGGTGGGAGGGTCCCCATCAGGCAGTGTGGGAGAGAGGCTAGGACTGTCACCTAGCATGGGGGCGGAGGTGTCCACTGGAGCAGCCTTCTGGAACAGCCCTGGGGCAGTGGGCAGCTGCCCCGGCTGAAATTCCGTGCCAGAGTGAAGGCAGTGCAACCAGCCAGCAGAGGGGTGCATGTGGGAATGTTGGGAATGGTGAGGCCTTCAGGAATGGTCTGATCCAGCATCTCCTGCTCCTAGTCCACCCTGGTGGTCCAGACTGAGGCCCAGAAAGGCCAAGTGAGTTGTCCAGGGGGCAGTTAAGCTGGCTCTCATTCCGTACACTCCTCCAGCACGCTGGTGCTGGGTCGAGGGCAGTGGGGCAGGGTGGGGTGCCAGGCTGGTTTATAGATACCCTCCAAGTGTCAGCTGACTGCTGGAAACCAGTAGGGAAGGGGAAGGTTGATATTGTCTCATGCATGGCGTGGGCGTTATCTCATTTAATCCTTGTGACAACCCTATATAGCAGATATAGATGAGACTTCGGTGGTGGTCCAAAATTACCATGACCCCTCAACCTCTGCTGCCCCCCTGAGTGGAGGCTCACTCACTGAGCAGCCCCACCCCAACTCTGTCCTTCTGGTCCCGAGGCCTGATCCCTGGGTCCAGGTTGCCCCTGATTCATTCTTGCTGTGAGGTACTCTCCTTCCAAAGGACTTTATTTGGCTCGGCGTGACCTCGGACAAACCTCTGAGCCTGTCTATTCCCTTGTGAAATGAAGACATTGCACATCCGTCACCTGTTCTGAAGTCTGAATGAGATAGTCTATAAAAAGCACATGAGGGAACCAGCAGTTAGCGTAATGGCTATGTCGCTGGACTCCCACGTAGTCGACCGTGGTTCGCGTCCCGGACCCGGTGGCTTAAAACTCACGCCGGGCGCATGTGCGTGCGTGCCCAAGATCCCGAGAGGAGAATGGAGGAGAAGGGATTGCGGCGTGACCATCCCCCCTGGGGGGGTGATTTCTCGCTGTCTGTCTGTATGTCTCTCTCTGTCTGTCTGGCGAGCGCACGTGCCCTATAGCAAAAACCTCTCCAAAAAAAAAATTAAAAATTAAAAAAATTTTTTAAAAAAGCACACGAACCAGGGTCTGGCATTCAGGAGATGCCCAGTAAAACCACCTGTTTCAAATGTCCATCGAGAATGCCGTAGAGTGAGACAGGCAGAGGTGTGAGGTTGAGGCTGCTGGATCCCACATGGCCAACTACGTGGTTCGAGGCTCAGGCCCAACAGCTGAAAACGCACTAGGTGTGTGTGTGCCCCAGACCCTGAGAGGAGAACAGAGAACAAGGAAGCCTGGGGGTGCTTTCTCACTTTTTTCTCTCTCTATCTCTTTCCAGCAAGTACGCACACTCTTTGTCAAAGAAAGAAAGAAAAAGAAAGAGAGAGAGAGAAAGAAAGAAAGGAAAAAAAGGAAAGAGAGAGAGAAAAAAAAGAAAGAAAAAGAAAGGAAGAAAGAGAGAAAGAGAGAGAGAAAGAGAGAGAGAGAAAGAAAGAAAGAAAGAAAGACAGAAAGAAAGAAAGAAAGAAAGAAAGAGAGAGAAAGAGAGAGAGAAAGAAAGAGAGAAAATACCATTTGCCGAGCCCCAGGAAAACGCTAGGAAAGTTCTGGATGTTAGACTGGATGGAAAAACCATCTGGATTGAATTCCGACTCTGCCATTTACTCGTCAAGTCTCTGACAGGTGCTTACCTCTCTGAGTCACAGGGTCATCATCTGGAAAGGGGCGTGACATCCATCACAGGGGTGATGGGACAATGAAACGAGGTAATGTACGGCACAGCTGGAGTTCCGTAAACAATACATGTTCTTCCATCGTCCTGTTACTTCTTTCTGAACTCTCGCCCATGTCCTGGCCCTCAGGTGAATGACCAGCGTGCCTAGTGCGACTCCCCCAGAATCGTCCTGCTGGCCCCCTCCTCCCACCCTGTGTTTTAGTCTAGCTTGTTTTAGTTTTTAGTTGCTATAACTAATAGCACAGAGGGCGTACTTTATAAAGAATAAAGGCTGGGCCAGCCCATGGCGTGGAGGTTAAGGCAACGGAATCTCACATGGCCAACCCAGTGTGTCCTGGACACAGCAGTTTGGGAAAAACACGCATGCGTGTATGTGTGCCCCAAATCTTGAACGTTGGAAGAGATGGGGGGAAGGGATGACCATTCCCTATGCAGGGAGTGCGTTTCCTTGCCCCTCTCTCTGGGTCTCTCTGGTGAGTGTGCGTTACCTCTGGCAAAATCTAAATAAAGATTGATTCAGTTCGTGATTATGGAGGTACAAGGCTGAGGGCCTTATTGGTGGGGACTCCAGTCCGGAGGCATGCACAGCGAGAGGGCGGGCACACGTGCCAGTTCTGGTCTCTCTCCCTCTTCTGACATTCATGGGGGTCCCACCCAGGTCACCGCATATCCTAGTCACCTCACAAAGTCACCTCTGAATGCCACTGCTGGGCTGAGTCTGCACCCTCTTAATACCACGATGACAGCATCCAGATTTCAGCACATGCATTCTTTTTTTTTTTTTTTTGGAGAGTTTTTTTTTTTTTTTTCGCTATAGGGCGTGTGCGCTCGCCAGACAGACAGAGAGGGACATAGAGACAGAAAGCAAGAAATCACTCCCCAGGGGTGATGGTCACGCCGCAATCCCTTCTCCTCCATTCTCCTCTCGGGATCTTGGGCACGCACGCACACGCGCCCGGCGTGAGTTTTAAGCCACCAGGTCCGGGACACGAACCGCAGTCGACTATGTGGGAGTCCAGTGACATAGCCATTACGCTAACTGCTGGTTCCCAGCACATGCATTCTGACGGACACAGTCAAGTCCTAGCAATCTGGGAATGGGGTTTCCGTGCTGAGGCTCTGCGAACCTGTGAATCCTGGCTGCTCCAGATACAAATCTCACGGGAAGCCAGCGACTGGAAGCAGGTACCCTGGAAGCACTTGTAGGACAGTCTTCTCTTTTGTCCTTCCAAGGGGACGCCACCTCATTGCCAAACCCACTCTTGGACTAAGGGTGGGTCTGTTGGGAGCAGGAGCCTCATTGGTCAGGTGTGGTCTTCAGAGACGGCAGCCTGGAGGCTCCAAAGGCCAAATGGGAGATGGCACATACCTCCGCACCTCCCTGGGACTGCGGATGTCCCTCTCCTTCCCTGCCCCTGTGACTGCCGGCCCACGGGGGGGAAGGGGGAGGGGTCTGGAAGCCGAGTTAGAAAGCCGTGCTGCGGCCTGTTCATCTAAATGTGCAGTGTGGGTCTCATGAGATTGGAGTCCTCGGGCCTGAGACTCACTGAAGGCCACAACAGGTGTGTGTGTTCGCTTTTCCCACTAGGTCCAGTTGATTCTCCTTCCTCTCAGTACCTCCCAGGGATGCTCCAGGGGTCACGCGAGGCCATCACTGTGAAAGCACACTATTAAATGCAGCGAATATGAGGCTTCATTTTTTAATCATTTGACACAGTCAAACTTCAGTTACACCGAACACTGGCAGTTACAAATATTTGGGGTTTAACACCAAGTTCTTTTTGTTCAACACGTCTTGTGGAGACTCTGTTCTTACAATGATAATGTATAGTGACTATAACATAATAAAAATAATACATGATCTGGCCAGCAGGCGGCGTGGAGGTTAAGGTGGCTCTATCTCACCTGGCTGATTGTGTGGTTCGAATCCTATACCTGGGGACTTGAAAATCACACCGGGTGGGGCCAGCAGGTGGTGTGGTGGTTAGGACACTGGGTTTCCATATGGCTGACCACAGTTCGAGTCCTGGACCTGGTGGCTTGTTTTCTCACTTTCCCACTCTCTCTTTGATCAAATTTAAAATAATAATAATAAGCAAAAGTAAAGAAAACAATTTTAAAAAAAAGAAAAGAAAAGAAAAGAAAGTCACACTGGGCACTGGGCACTGGGTACTTGTGCATGTGTGCCCAAAATCCCAAGAGGAGACTGGAGGAAAGGGATGATGGCATGGCCATCCCCCGGGGGAGTCATTTCTTACTTTCCTTCTCTCTCTCTTTCTCTCCAACTCTCCAGTAAGAGCACGTGCTCTACAGTAAAACTAATAATAATAATAGCATAAGACCTATGTAGGAAATTTGAAAACCGAGGGAAAGTGAAAAAAATAAAGGGTGCAAGAATCATCTCTAACTGCAGAGCCCAGACACGCTCACTGGTTGTAGTCCATGCGCACAGGTGCAGCCGTGACCATCCCAACACCGCCCATCTGTACACACGCATTCGCCCCTTTCTATGCACCAGGGCGAATTCAGGGCTTACTGCATCATCTCTGTGTGTCTATAAGTGACGCCTCACATCACATGGATGCAGGTTTAT